TAACCATTTTTAATACTAACTTAGGAATGTTCTGGTGGACAATATATAGCGTACATGAGTCCAAGGGGTGAGTGGATGTTTATATTTTGCCTCTGAAGTGGCTAGTTTATTGTGTACCCCATATCCATCCTGTGGATGGTAGCGCAAGAGCATGTGGATACATGAAAGGCCTAGGAACTAGGCCTCAAAAGAATTAACAGGAAAGAATCCGAATCTAAATCTTCAGTTTGTCTATTCTGTTGCAAGCAAATTTACGATATTTGCTGAATATGTCTGGTATCTTATGTTCATATCCCTGGAGTCAGGGGTGAGTAATAACACAAGAAGCCAGGATTATGTAATAATAATAATAATAATAAATAATAATAATAATAATAATAATAATAATAATAATAATAATAATAATAATAATAATAATAATAATAATAAAATAATAATAATAATAATAATAATAATAATAATAATAATAATAATAATAATAATAATAATAATAATAATAATAATAATAATTTTTATTTTTACAAGTACATGATGCAACTTATACAGACCATAGCTGACATTAATGACATACTATACACAAAAATCCTGGTTAAAGAGAGTATTTCGAGCAAAATAGGCTAATTTTGTCCCCAGGATGCGACCCACACCAGTCGACTAACACCCAGGTACCTATTTTACCGCTAGGTGAACATGGACAGCAGGTGTCTCAAGGAAACACGTCCTAATGATCCCACCCGTTATATAGAAAGTTAATAATGCCCTACACAGAACGAGAGGGTATCACACCCTTGACCCTTGAGTCAGTATTACATCTGTGTTATCCATTTTAGATTAGATATGGATGTAGATACAGACCTGATGGGCGAGTTTGTTGGACGGTAGCGAACTTATGTGTACCCATAACACCATGACAACAACAGGTTGGGTTAAGTTCGGTTAGGTTAGGTTAGGTTAGGTTAGGTTAGGTTAGGTTAGGTTTGGTTAGGTTAAGTTATGTTAGGTTTGGTTTGGTTAGGTTAGGTTAGGTGAGATTAGGTTAGGTTAGGTTAGGTTAGGTTAGGTTAGGTTAAGTTATGTTAGGTTTGGTTTGGTTAGGTTAGGTTAGGTGAGATTAGGTTAGGTTAGGTTAGGTTAGGTTAGGTTAGGTTAGGTTTGGTTAGGTTAAGTTATGTTAGGTTTGGTTAGGTTAGGTTAGGTTAGGTTAGGTTAAGTTAGGTTAGGTTAAGTTAGGTTAGGTTTGGTTAGGTTAAGTTATGTTAGGTTTGGTTTGGTTAGGTTAGGTTAGGTGAGATTAGGTTAGGTTAGGTTAGGTTAGGTTAGGTTAGGTTTGCTTAGGTTAAGTTAGGTTAGGTTTGGTTAGGTTAAGTTACGTTAGGTTTGGTTTGGCTAGGTTAGATTAGGTTAGGCTTAGTTAGGTTTGGTTAGGTTTGGTTAGGTTAAATTTGGTTAGGTTTGGTTTGGTTAAGTTAGGTTAGGTTAGGTTTGGTTTGGTTAAGTTAGGTTAGGTTAGGTTTGTGTGGCATGCAAAGAGTACGTAACCTTTATTCGGCGCATGGACACACCCTCATTTACAGGCTATCTCCCCCAACCCTCGAACCAGGTTGCTAAGAGTTGATGATGGGGCCCCATCGTTCAACTAGTGACCAGGTTCTAGCCAATAAGAAGGTGGGATTGACAATCGCAGAGGTTATGTGGATACCGCTCTCCTGTCTGCCCTTGTCATTCCCATTCTAGAGCTGGTTGAAGCACGGTCTGCTATCTTGTGGCTTCTATTTCTGCCTTGCTTACCGTGGAGTGCACTATATTTATCACTGTACATAGTGTACATATTGCTGTTCTAAATTGGTGAAGGATAATATAAGTCTAAACTTTTTCTACTGTGTTTATTTGCTCCCATTACACCTGGGATAACAGGCCATTTGAAATCCTAGGTTGTAATAGTTTGGTTTGGTTAAGTTAGGTTAGGTTAGGTTAGGTTTGGTTAGGTTAGGTAAGATTTGTCAGGAATCAGGACATGTGTTTCCTGACTCTGGTCTTAGTCATATGATGACCCGCCACTGGAGCTTTTGGTCATATGATCGAGGCCTTCCGCTGGCTTACCCCTCCACCCCTTTTAAAAATTAATGATTACTAGGACAATAGCTGACGCAATAGTATCGTAGTTATCATTGGCTGCTTCAGTACAAATGTATCCCTACGACATATACAGGTATTCCCTACCCTTAAATACAGGTATCCCTACGGGTATACGTCTTACCCCCGCCCAAGATTCAACCCGAGTCCTTTCGATTGTATGCTGAGCTACGAGGGATGACCAGGAAGGACAGTTTGATCTGTGCAGTTATGCAGTTCGTAAACTGCAGCGAGTTCATCCAGGCAGGCCCAGGAGACAGAGCTCAACATCCAGTTAATTACACACACTAGGGGTAACTAATCCAAATGAAACACATTTTTTTACGCAGGTGGTGGTGTCGAGGGCAGACTGGACAGGGTGGCTAGAAGGTAAATTTGATGGCCTATTCCAGCCTAACCTGCCCCAGGCTGACCTGCCCCAGGCTGACCTGCTCCAGGCTGACCTGCCCCAGGCTGACCTGCCCCAGGCTGACCTGCCCCAGGCTGACCAAGTAAGTTTACATTAAATTTCTTCTTACAACTGAAACAATGCCATTATTCTGAGGGTAAGCGCTAAATCCATAGGGGTCATACAGCTCCTAGGGGAATGAGGAGGAAACAGGTTTGATCCAGGGAAAGAGAGGACAGCTCAAAGTCCCCAAATCAAGAACTTCTCTGCCAGGCTGAGTCGTCCCTCGCTCACAGACATTCGGAATCAATAACCATCTTCAATTAAATTAATCTAAGGCATTTTCTAGCACGAATTTCACTATAATATACCCTCCAAGATAGGGGGCTCTTGATCCAAGGAATCAAGAGCTTAGTGCAGTGTGGGGGGCGAAGTTTTTACTCACAGTAGAGTACGTTGTTAATTTATTTTTCTTTGTTATAATGAGAAAAGATTTTTAAGATCGGCTTTATTAAGTTACGAATAATTTCACGTGTTTGTGGCTTCCATAAAGCTTCGATAAAGTTACGATAAAGCTTCGATAAAGTTACGATAAAGCTTCGATAAAGTTACGATAAAGCTTCGATAAAGTTACGATAAAGCTTCGATAAAGTTACGATAAAGCTTCGATAAAGTTACGATAAAGCTTCGATAAAGCTTCGATAAAGTTACGATAAAGCTTCGATAAAGCTTTGATAAAGCTTCGATAAAGCTTCGATAAAGTTACGATAAAGCTTCGATAAAGTTACGATAAAGCTTCGATAAAGTTACGATAAAGCTTCGATAAAGTTACGATAAAGTTACGATAAAGCTTCGATAAAGCTTCGATAAAGTTACGATAAAGCTTCGATAAAGTTACGATAAAGCTTCGATAAAGTTACGATAAAGCTTCGATAAAGTTACGATAAAGCTTCGATAAAGTTACGATAAAGCTTCGATAAAGCTTCGATAAAGTTACGATAAAGCTTCGATTAAAGCTTTGATAAAGCTTCGATAAAGCTTCGATAAAGTTACGATTAAAGCTTCGATAAAGTTACGATAAAGCTTCGATAAAGTTACGATAAAGCTTCGATAAAGCTTCGATAAAGTTACGATAAAGCTTCGATAAAGCTTTGATAAAGCTTCGATAAAGCTTCGATAAAGTTACGATAAAGCTTCGATAAAGTTACGATAAAGCTTCGATAAAGTTACGATAAAGCTTCGATAAAGTTACGATAAAGTTACGATAAAGCTTCGATAAAGCTTCGATAAAGTTACGATAAAGCTTCGATAAAGTTACGATAAAGCTTCGATAAAGTTACGATAAAGCTTCGATAAAGCTTCGATAAAGCTTTGATAAAGCTTCGATAAAGCTTCGATAAAGTTACGATAAAGCTTCGATAAAGTTACGATAAAGCTTCGATAAAGTTACGATAAAGCTTCGATAAAGTTACGATAAAGCTTCGATAAAGTTACGATAAAGCTTCGATAAAGCTTCGATAAAGCTTTGATAAAGCTTCGATAAAGCTTCGACAAAGTTACGATAAAGCTTCGATAAAGCTTCGATAAAGCTTTGATAAAGCTTCGATAAAGCTTCGATAAAGTTACGATAAAGCTTCGATAAAGTTACGATAAAGCTTCGATAAAGTTACGATAAAGCTTCGATAAAGTTACGATAAAGCTTCGATAAAGCTTCGATAAAGCTTTGATAAAGCTTCGATAAAGCTTCGATAAAGTTACGATAAAGCTTCGATAAAGTTACGATAAAGCTTCGATAAAGTTACGATAAAGCTTCGATAAAGCTTTGATAAAGTTTCGATAAAGCTTTGATAAAGCTTCGATAAAGCTTTGATAAAGTTTCGATAAAGCTTTGATAAAACTTCTATAAAGCTTTGATAAAACTTTGATAAAGCTTCGATAAAGTTACGATAAAGCTTCGATAAAGCTTCGATAAAATTTCGATAAAGTTACGATAAAGCTTTGATAAAGTTACGATAAAACTTCGATAAAGCTTCGATAAAACTTCGATAAAGCTTCGATAAAACTTCGATAAAGCTTCGATAAAGCTTCGATAAAACTTCGATAAAGCTTCGATAAAGCTTCGATAAAACTTCGATAAAGCTTCGATAAAGCTTCGATAAAACTTCGATAAAGCTTCGATAAAGCTTCGATAAAACTTCGATAAAGCTTCGATAAAGCTTCGATAAAACTTCGATAAAACTTCGATAAAGCTTCGATAAAGCTTCGATAAAACTTCGATAAAGCTTCGATAAAGCTTCGATAAAACTTCGATAAAGCTTCGATAAAGCTTCGATAAAACTTCGATAAAGCTTCGATAAAGCTTCGATAAAACTTCGATAAAGCTTCGATAAAGCTTCGATAAAACTTCGATAAAGCTTCGATAAAGCTTCGATAAAACTTCGATAAAACTTCGATAAAGCTTCGATAAAGCTTCGATAAAACTTCGATAAAGCTTCGATAAAGCTTCGATAAAACTTCGATAAAGCTTCGATAAAGCTTCGATAAAACTTCGATAAAACTTCGATAAAGCTTCGATAAAAACTTCGATAAAACTTCGATAAAGCTTCGATAAAACTTCGATAAAACTTCGATAAAGCTTCGATAAAACTTCGATAAAACTTCGATAAAGCTTCGATAAAACTTCGATAAAACTTCGATAAAGCTTCGATAAAGCTTCGATAAAGCTTCGATAAAGCTTCGATAAAGCTTCGATAAAGCGAAACTAAGTCAATAGCGGATAATATTTATTGCCTTCCCTTGTACTGATAAAGCCACTGGTGGGCGAAATGTCTACAGATAATAATACCCAGATATTGCACGTCTCTCCCGTTCTTCATCAACAAGGGAGAAACGTGCTTAAGTGAACTTAGAATAATATTTGCGTTTTTTTTCTTGTGCATTTGTCACGTTTTATCGCTTTTTAAACGTTAAGGTCATGGGTTGAGTGAACTGTGACCTTGGTATACCTGGATACCTGGAGAGAGTTTCGGGGGGTCAACGCCCCTGTGACCCGGTCTGAGACCAGGCCTCGTGGTGGATCAGGGTCTGATCAACCAAGCTATTACTCCTGGCCACACGTAAACTGACGTACGAACATGATGACGCTGCTGGCTGAAAGGTCAGATGTGTAACTAATGGAGGGCGAAACGTTGCCACAGTAAACTGTCGAATTAGTTGCACTTATTTCCTTACACTAAAAACATTGTCGGTAATTCTACCAGCGTTATTGCAGGATGATGATGGTAATGACGAGGATGATGATGGTGGACGTGGCGTAGAACGGATGATTGAGGCTGTTAAGGATGCTTTTCAGGAGATGACGAAGAAGCGCAGCTCCTGGTACCAGCACTACAATGCGCTGGCTGCTGGCGCAACTAACAACTCCGCTGTGGTTACAGAGCTACTGGCTATCAGCAGGTAACACTTGTAATGCTAGTGTAGCCACTTAGAAAGTTACACCTGTGTTGCTGTCAGCAGGTAACACTTGTAATACTAGTGTAGCCACTTAGAAAGTTACACCTGTGTTGCTGTCAGCAGGTAACACTTGTAATACTAGTGTAGCCACTTAGAAAGTTACACCTGTGTTACTGTCAGCAGGTAACACTTGTAATACTAGTGTAGCCACTTAGAAAGTTACACCTGTGTTGCTGTCAGCAGGTAACACTTGTAATACTAGTGTAGCCACTTAGAAAGTTACACCTGTGTTGCTGTCAGCAGGTAACACTTGTAATACTAGTGTAGCCACTTAGAAAGTTACACCTGTGTTGCTGTCAGCAGGTAACACTTGTAATACTAGTGTACCCATTTAGCCAGCATCACAGTATCCATCAGAGCATCTTAGAACCCCAGTATCTCATTAGCCAATCAGAACATCTTAGAATCCCAGCATCACAAAAACTCATCAGAACATCTTGTGCAAGAATGGTATATAATACCGACAAGATGAAATTAAGACACATGTGCAACATCTGGGTATCTTTATTGTAGACGTTTCGCCATCCATTGGCTTTAACAATACAAATTCCAGGACATAACTTGAAGACAGTAGGACTATATATTGATTACCTCATCTTCTGTATATAGACCTACTGTCTTCAAGTTATGTCCTGGAATTTGTATTGATAAAGCCAATGGATGGCGAAACGTCTACAATAAAGATACCCAGATGTTGCACAGAACATCTTAGAACCCCACCATCTTAATAACCATCAGAGCATCTTAGAGCCCCCAGCATCACAAAAACTCATCAGAACATCTTAGAACCCCACCATCTTAATAACCATCAGAGCATCTTAGAGCCCCCAGCATCACAAAAACTCATCAGAACATCTTAGAACCCCACCATCTTAATAACCATCAGAGCATCTTAGAGCCCCCAGCATCACAAAAACTCGTCAGAACATCTTAGAACCCCACCATCTTAATAACCATCAGAGCATCTTAGAGCCCCCAGCATCACAAAAACTCATCAGAACATCTTAGAACCCCACCATCTTAATAACCATCAGAGCATCTTAGAGCCCCCAGCATCACAAAAACTCATCAGAACATCTTAGAACCCCACCATCTTAATAACCATCAGAGCATCTTAGAACCCCCAGCATCACAAAAACTCATCAGAACATCTTAGAACCCCACCATCTTAATAACCATCAGAGCATCTTAGAACCCCCAGCATCACAAAAACTCATCAGAACATCTTAGAACCCCACCATCTTAATAACCATCAGAGCATCTTAGAGCCCCCAGCATCACAAAAACTCATCAGAACATCTTAGAACCCCACCATCTTAATAACCATCAGAGCATCTTAGAGCCCCCAGCATCACAAAAACTCATCAGAACATCTTAGAACCCCACCATCTTAATAACCATCAGAGCATCTTAGAGCCCCCAGCATCACAAAAACTCATCAGAACATCTTAGAACCCCACCATCTTAATAACCATCAGAGCATCTTAGAGCCCCCAGCATCACAAAAACTCATCAGAACATCTTAGAACCCCACCATCTTAATAACCATCAGAGCATCTTAGAGCCCCCAGCATCACAAAAACTCATCAGAACATCTTAGAACCCCACCATCTTAATAACCATCAGAGCATCTTAGAACCCCCAGCATCACAAAAACTCATCAGAACATCTTAGAACCCCACCATCTTAATAACCATCAGAGCATCTTAGAGCCCCCAGCATCACAAAAACTCATCAGAACATCTTAGAACCCCACCATCTTAATAACCATCAGAGCATCTTAGAACCCCCAGCATCACAAAAACTCATCAGAACATCTTAGAACCCCACCATCTTAATAACCATCAGAGCATCTTAGAGCCCTCAGCATCACAAAAACTCATCAGAACATCTTAGAACCCCCACCATCTTAATAACCATCAGAGCATCTTAGAGCCCCCAGCATCACAAAAACTCATCAGAACATCTTAGAACCCCACCATCTTAATAACCATCAGAGCATCTTAGAACCCCCAGCATCACAAAAACTCATCAGAACATCTTAGAACCCCACCATCTTAATAACCATCAGAGCATCTTAGAGCCCTCAGCATCACAAAAACTCATCAGATTCTCTAAGAACAACAGCAACATTTGTTCCTGTCTATCAGTGTCGCGATGCCAATCATCTGGAACGCCTACGTGGGGTCTCTGCTGACGGAGAGGCAGGGCAAACTTCGCCAGGAGAACATTAGGACCTTCAGCCCATCAGATCAACTCGCATCCCAGCGTCTGAGTGTCCCGGCAGGATTTACTGAACAAGACGACTTCACGGTTGAGATTACAATGGCACTCAACAAGATAGATTCGTGAGTGGTAATTATTCTTACTGTTGGGAATAAATATTTTAGAAAAAAAACGAGAAGTTGATAAATGTGGCGTTTGTGCCCCATTTGGGTATTTGTTTTATTCTGGAAAACGTTTAGTAAGCCAGTGGCTTCTTCAGTCCAGTGCAGAGAAAGTTGGAAGATCAAGAGGAGGGTTGAGGTAATCAGTCCCTCAACACTTTTATCAAGACTGATGGACTGAGCACAGCTACTCCAGGTTTAGGGACTGATTACCTCAAACTCATCTTCATCTTTCATCTTTATCTACATTGGACTGAAGAAGCCACTGGCTGGCGAAACGTTTCCAGAATAAAGATACCCAAATGTTTCACAAGTGTCTCATTATCATTCTTATTGTTTCAATAATAACAACAGCAATAATTATATTGATGGTGTGCAAAACAAGAAATATAAATGAATAAGACACACTTGGGTATCTTTGCTGTGGAGACGTTTCGCCCACCAGTGGCTTTACCAGTCCCGTGCAGAGAGTAATTACTGGAGACGCTGAAGGACACGAAGTAGGTTTGAGGTGTTCAGTCCCTCAGTCTTGGAGTTGGTGAAGACCACCGAAGTCTTGAAGAATCTTCAAGTCTTTGAATTTGCAGCGATAAAGCCACTGGATGGCGAAATGTCTACAAATAAAGTCACCCAGGTGTTGAACATGTGTCTAATTCTTCAACAACAACAACAATAATAATAATAATAATAATAATAATAATAATTAATAATAATAATAATAATAATAATAATAATATAATAACAATAATAATAATAATAATAATAATAATAATAATAATAATAATAATAATAATAATAATAATAATAATAATAATAATAATAATAATAATAATAATGAAAGTTAAGACAAGATGAGAATAATAATAATAATAATAATAATAATAATAATAATAATAATAATAATAATAATAATAATAATAATAATAATAATAATAGTAATAATAATAATAACAATAAAAATAATAATAATAATAATAATTAATAATAATAATAATAATAATAATAATAATTAATAATATAATAAATAATAATAATAATAACAATAATAATAGTAATAATAATAATAATAATAATAATAATAATAATAATAATAATAATATAATAATAATAATAATAATAATAATAATAATAATAATAATAACATAATAATAGTAATAATAATAATAATAATAATAATAATAATAATAATAATAATAATAATAATAATAATAATAATAAATTTTTTGCCAGCGTGGGTGTCATGTTGATGCCAGAAACTGACCAAGACATAGTCAGGTACCAGGGTGACATCCTCGTCGTTGCTGACCTTCACTGGCAGTACCAAAACGATGATCGGTAAGTTTTGACCTTTTTTTGGGATTGTGGGAGGGAGGGGAAAATGATGTTGGTATTTATTGCCAAAGTTCATACCAGGAGAAAATGATAAACCTGTAAGAGTCGTATTACGTTCTTGATGACATGAGAACATACGAATGTAGGAACACTGGAGAAGGCCTAGTGGCCCATACAAGGCAGGTGCTTACTAAAACCACGCCCTACTAGAGCTACCCAAGAATTTACTCCCGTACCCACCACACGCTAAGACCTCGTCACCAGCATCAAGGTAACTTCTCCCTTGAAATGGGTAACTTGCCTTACTAAGGTTGGGGTAAGATCCCTGAGCCTGGAAGTTCAAGTGTCGTAACGCCACTGAAAGAACGTAAGACTACGGTGCTGTTCACCAAATCCAAGGTTGAGGGATTGATTATCTCATCCTTTGTGAATAATTCTTTACATTTTGTCCTCATATTGTACCGATAAAGCCGCTGGTGGGCGAAACGTCTACAAATAAAGATGCCCAGATGTTGTACATGTGTCTGATTGTGCAAGAGAGGAGTGCTGTTGCAGGCTTACTGACCCATGCTAGGCAGGTCCAAGTCACACCCACCCTCACCTACTTATATACTTTAGACACTTTTTCAACATTTGGGTATCTGGAATCGTTTCGCCACACAGTGGTTTCTTCAGTCCAATGCGGAAAAAGGTGGAATAAGAGGAAGACTTTGAGGTAATCAGTCCCTCAGCCTGGAGTCGATGTCTTCAGTCACTTAATATTGATAAAAGATCATTTAAGATTATATATTGTACATAAATGCTGAAACTGGTATAAAATACCGAAACGTTTGGTACTGACGAAACGCTTCGCCCACACAGTATAAAAGATTATAAAAGATCCCAATGGAAATAAGAACGTAGATTTGAGGCAATCAGTCCCTCAGCCTGGAGAAGTTCTGTTCCAAAGTTCCAGACTTTGGAACAAAACTTCTCCAGGCTGAGGGACTGATAACCTCAAATCTACGACTTCCAGGGTGATGGACTGACTACATCGTCTTCACGGAAATAAGAACACAAGGAAGGAGAACACAGCAGTAGGCCTGTCGGCCCATACTAGGCAGGTCCTTCACGAATTCAACCCACTAACAGAATATTTGCCCAACCCACTTTTAGTGGGTTATCCTGAGTTTTTATACACATACTGCTGTGTGTGTCACTCTACGTAACTGACTTTATGTATACTTGAGTAAACTTACTTACTTACTAACTTGCTTACTAACTTGCTTACTTACTAACTTACTTACTTACTAACTTGCTTACTTACTAACTTGCTTGCTTACTAACTTGCTTACTAACTTGCTTACTTACTAACTTGCTTACTTACTAACTTGCTTACTTACTAACTTGCTTACTTACTAACTTGCTTACTTACTAACTTGCTTACTTACTAACTTACTTACTAACTTGCTTATTTACTAACTTGCTTACTTACTAACTTGCTTACTTACTAACTTACTTACTTACTAACTTGCTTACTTACTAACTTGCTTACTTACTAACTTCCTTACTTACTAAATTGCTTACTAACTAACTTACTTACTTACTAAATTGCTTGCTTACTAACTTACTTACTTACTAACTTGCTTACTTACTAACTTGCTTACTTACTAACTTCCTTACTTACTAACTTGCTTACTTACTAACTTGCTTACTTACTAACTTGCTTGCTTACTAACTTGCTTACTTACTAACTTACTTACTTACTAACTTGCTTACTTACTAACTTGCTTACTTACTAACTTGCTTACTTACTAACTTGCTTACTTACTAACTTACTTACTAACTTGCTTACTTACTAACTTGCTTACTAACTAACTTGCTTACTTACTAACTTGCTTACTTACTAACTTGCTTACTTACTAACTTACTTACTAACTGTTGTTACTTACTAACTTGCTTACTTACTAACTTGCTTACTTACTAACTTGCTTACTTACTAACTTACTAACTTGCTTACTTACTAACTTGCTTACTTACTAACTTGCTTACTTACTAACTTGCTTACTTACTAACTTACTTACTAACTTGCTTACTTACTAACTTGCTTACTTACTAACTTGCTTACTTACTAACTTGCTTAGTTACTAACTTACTTACTAACTTGCTTACTTACTAACTTGCTTACTTACTAACTTGCTTACTTACTAACTTGCTTACTTACTAACTTACTTACTAACTTGCTTACTTACTAACTTGCTTACTTACTAACTTGCTTACTTACTAACTTGCTTGCTTACTAACTTGCTTACTTACTAACTTGCTTACTTACTAACTTGCTTACTTACTAACTTGCTTGCTTACTAACTTGCTTACTAACTTACTTACTTACTAACTTGCTTGCTTACTAACTTGCTTACTTACTAACTTACTTACTAACTTACTTACTTACTAACTTGCTTACTTACTAACTTGCTTACTTACTAACTTGCTTACTTACTAACTTGCTTACTTACTAACTTGCTTACTTACTAACTTACTTACTAACTTGCTTACTTACTAACTTGCTTACTTACTAACTTGCTTACTTACTAACTTGCTTACTTACTAACGTACTTACTAACTTGCTTACTTACTAACTTGCTTACTTACTAACTTGCTTACTTACTAACTTGCTTACTTACTAACTTACTTACTAACTTGCTTACTTACTAACTTGCTTACTTACTAACTTGCTTACTTACTAACTTGCTTACTTACTAACTTACTAACTTGCTTACTTACTAACTTGCTTACTTACTAACTTGCTTACTTACTAACTTGCTTACTTACTAACTTACTTACTAACTTGCTTACTTACTAACTTGCTTACTTACTAACTTGCTTACTTACTAACTTGCTTACTTACTAACTTCCTTACTTACTAACTTCCTTACTTACTAACTTGCTTACTTACTAACTTACTTACTTACTAACTTGCTTACTTACTAACTTGCTTACTTACTAACTTCCTTACTTACTAAATTGCTTACTTACTAACTTACTTACTTACTAAATTGCTTACTTACTAACTTACTTACTTACTAACTTGCTTACTTACTAACTTGCTTACTTACTAACTTCCTTACTTACTAACTTGCTTACTTTCTAACTTGCTTACTTACTAACTTGCTTGCTTACTAACTTGCTTACTTACTAACTTGCTTACTTACTAACTTGCTTACTTACTAACTTGCTTACTTAATAACTTGCTTGATAACTAACTTGCCTACTTACTAACTTGCTTACTTACTAACTTGCTTACTTACTAACTTGCTTACTTACTAACTTGCTTACTTACTAACTTGCTTACTTACTAACTTGCTTACTTACTAACTTGCTTACTTACTAACTTGCTTACTTACTAACTTGCTTACTTACTAACTTACTTACTAACTTGCTTACTTACTAACTTGCTTACTTACTAACTTGCTTACTTACTAACTTGCTTACTTACTAACTTGCTTACTTACTAACTTGCTTACTTACTAACTTGCTTACTTACTAACTTGCTTACTTACTAACTTACTTACTAACTTGCTTACTTACTAACTTGCTTACTTACTAACTTGCTTACTTACTAACTTGCTTACTTACTAACTTACTTACTAACTTGCTTACTTACTAACTTGCTTACTTACTAACTTGCTTACTTACTAACTTGCTTACTTACTAACTTGCTTACTTACTAACTTGCTTACTTACTAACTTACTTACTAACTTGCTTATTTACTAACTTGCTTACTTACTAACTTTCTTACTTACTAACTTGCTTACTTACTAACTTACTTACTAACTTGCTTACTTACTAACTTGCTTACTTACTAACTTGCTTACTTACTAACTTGCTTACTTACTAACTTACTTACTAACTTGCTTACTTACTAACTTGCTTACTTACTAACTTGCTTACTTACTAACTTGCTTACTTACTAACTTACTTACTAACTTGCTTACTTACTAACTTGCTTACTTACTAACTTGCTTACTTACTAACTTGCTTGCTTACTAACTTGCTTACTTACTAACTTGCTTACTTACTAACTTGCTTACTTACTAACTTGCTTGCTTACTAACTTGCTTACTAACTTACTTACTTACTAACTTGCTTGCTTACTAACTTGCTTACTTACTAACTTACTTACTAACTTACTTACTAACTTACTTACTTACTAACTTGCTTACTTACTAACTTGCTTACTTACTAACTTGCTTACTTACTAACTTGCTTACTTACTAACTTGCTTACTTACTAACTTGCTTACTTACTAACTTACTTACTAACTTGCTTACTTACTAACTTGCTTACTTACTAACTTGCTTACTTACTAACTTGCTTACTTACTAACTTAGTTACTAACTTGCTTACTTACTAACTTGCTTACTTACTAACTTGCTTACTTACTAACTTGCTTACTTACTAACTTACTTACTAACTTGCTTACTTACTAACTTGCTTACTTACTAACTTGCTTACTTACTAACTTGCTTACTTACTAACTTACTTACTAACTTGCTTACTTACTAACTTGCTTACTTACTAACTTGCTTACTTACTAACTTGCTTACTTACTAACTTACTTACTAACTTGCTTACTTACTAACTTGCTTACTTACTAACTTGCTTACTTACTAACTTGCTTACTTACTAACTTACTTACTAACTTGCTTACTTACTAACTTGCTTACTTACTAACTTGCTTACTTACTAACTTGCTTGCTTACTAACTTGCTTACTTACTAACTTGCTTACTTACTAACTTGCTTACTTACTAACTTGCTTGCTTACTAACTTGCTTACTTACTAACTTGCTTACTAACTTACTTACTTACTAACTTGCTTGCTTACTAACTTGCTTACTTACTAACTTACTTACTAACTTACTTACTTACTAACTTGCTTACTTACTAACTTGCTTACTTACTAACTTGCTTACTTACTAACTTGCTTGCTTACTAACTTGCTTACTTACTAACTTGCTTACTTACTAACTTGCTTACTAACTTACTTACTAACTCGCTTACTTACTAACTTGCTTACTTACTAACTTGCTTACTTACTAACTTACTTAATTACTAACTTGCTTACTTACTAACTTGCTTACTTACTAACTTACTTACTAACTTACTTACTTACTAACTTGCTTACTTACTAACTTGCTTACTTACTAACTTGCTTACTTACTAACTTGCTTATTACTAACTTGCTTACTTACTAACTTGCTTACTTACTAACTTACTTACTAACTTACTTACTAACTTGCTTACTTACTAACTTGCTTACTTACTAACTTGCTTACTAACTTACTTACTAACTTGCTTACTTACTAACTTGCTTACTTACTAACTTGCTTACTTACAAACTTACTTACCTACTAACTTGCTTACTTACTAACTTGCTTACTTACTAACTTACTTACTAACTTACTTACTTACTAACTTGCTTACTTACTAACTTGCTTACTTACTAACTTGCTTACTTACTAACTTGCTTACTTACTAACTTGCTTACTTGCTAACCTGCTTACTTACTAACTTGCTTGGTATAAACCTTGGTAATAAATACCGTGTCTTTCTAAACCACTAACTTGCTTACTTACTAACTTGCTTACTTACTAACTTGCTTACTTACTAACTTGCTTACTTACTAACTTGCTTACTTACTAACTTGCTTACTAACTTACTTACTAACTTGCTTACTTACTAACTTGCTTACTTACTAACTTGCTTACTTACAAACTTACTTACCTACTAACTTGCTTACTTACTAACTTGCTTACTTACTAACTTACTTACTAACTTACTTACTTACTAACTTGCTTACTTACTAACTTGCTTACTTACTAACTTGCTTACTTACTAACTTGCTTACTTACTAACTTGCTTACTTGCTAACCTGCTTACTTACTAACTTGCTTGGTATAAACCTTGGTAATAAATACCGTGTCTTTCTAAACCACTAACTTGCTTACTTACTAACTTGCTTACTTACTAACTTGCTTACTTACTAACTTGCTTACTTACTAACTTGCTTACTTACTAACTTGCTTACTTACTAACTTGCTTACTTACTAACTTGCTTACTTACTAACTTGCTTACTTACTAACTTGCTTACTAACTTACTTACTAACTTGCTTACTTACTAACTTGCTTACTTACTAACTTGCTTACTTACTAACTTGCTTACTAACTTACTTACTAACTTGCTTACTTACTAACTTGCTTACTTACTAACTTACTTACTAACTTACTTACTTACTAACTTACTTACTTACTAACTTACTTACTTACTAACTTGCTTACTTACTAACTTGCTTACTAACTTGCTTACTTACTAACTTGCTTACTTACTAACTTGCTTACTTACTAACTTGCTTACTTTACTAACTTACTTACTAACTTGCTTACTTACTAACTTGCTTACTTACTAACTTGCTTACTTACTAACTTGCTTACTTACTAACTTACTTACTAACTTGCTTACTTACTAACTTGCTTACTTACTAACTTGCTTACTTACTAACTTGCTTACTTACTAACTTACTTACTAACTTGCTTACTTACTAACTTGCTTACTTACTAACTTGCTTACTTACTAACTTGCTTACTTACTAACTTACTTACTAACTTGCTTACTTACTAACTTGCTTACTTACTGACTTGCTTACTTACTAACTTACTTACTAACTTGCTTACTTACTAACTTGCTTACTTACTAACTTGCTTACTTACTAACTTGCTTACTTACTAACTTACTTACTAACTTGCTTACTTACTAACTTGCTTACTTACTAACTTGCTTACTTACTAACTTGCTTGCTTACTAACTTGCTTACTTACTAACTTGCTTACTTACTAACTTGCTTACTTACTAACTTGCTTGCTTACTAACTTGCTTACTTACTAACTTGCTTACTAACTTACTTACTTACTAACTTGCTTGCTTACTAACTTGCTTACTTACTAACTTACTTACTAACTTACTTACTTACTAACTTGCTTACTTACTAACTTGCTTACTTACTAACTTGCTTACTTACTAACTTGCTTGCTTACTAACTTGCTTACTTACTAACTTGCTTACTTACTAACTTGCTTACTAACTTACTTACTAACTCGCTTACTTACTAACTTGCTTACTTACTAACTTGCTTACTTACTAACTTACTTAATTACTAACTTGCTTACTTACTAACTTGCTTACTTACTAACTTACTTACTAACTTACTTACTTACTAACTTGCTTACTTACTAACTTGCTTACTTACTAACTTGCTTACTTACTAACTTGCTTACTTACTAACTTGCTTACTTACTAACTTGCTTACTTACTAACTTGCTTACTTACTAACTTACTTACTAACTTACTTACTAACTTGCTTACTTACTAACTTGCTTACTTACTAATTTGCTTACTAACTTACTTACTAACTTGCTTACTTACTAACTTGCTTACTTACTAACTTGATTACTTACAAACTTACTTACCTACTAATTTGCTTACTTACTAACTTGCTTACTTACTAACTTACTTACTAACTTACTTACTTACTAACTTGCTTACTTACTAACTTGCTTACTTACTAACTTGCTTACTTACTAACTTGCTTACTTACTAACTTGCTTACTTGCTAACCTGCTTACTTACTAACTTGCTTGGTATAAACCTTGGTAATAAATACCGTGTCTTTCTAAACCACTAACTTGCTTACTTACTAACTTGCTTACTTACTAACTTGCTTACTTACTAACTTGCTTACTTACTAACTTGCTTACTTACTAACTTGCTTACTTACTAACTTGCTTACTTACTAACTTGCTTTCTTACTAACTTGCTTACTTACTAACTTGCTTACTTACTAACTTGCTTACTTACTAACTTGCTTACTTACTAACTTGCTTACTAACTTACTTACTAACTTGCTTACTTACTAACTTGCTTACTTACTAACTTGCTTACTAACTTACTTACTAACTTGCTTACTTACTAACTTGCTTACTTACTAACTTACTTACTAACTTACTTACTTACTAACTTACTTACTTACTAACTTACTTACTTACTAACTTGCTTACTTACTAACTTGCTTACTTACTAACTTGCTTACTTACTAACTGGCTTACTAACTTACTTACTAACTTGCTTACTTACTAACTTGCTTACTTACTAACTTACTTACTAACTTACTTACTTACTAACTTACTTACTTACTAACTTACTTACTTACTAACTTGCTTACTTACTAACTTGCTTACTTACTAACTTGCTTACTTACTAACTTGCTTACTTACAAACTTGCTTACTTACTAACTTGCTTACTTACTAACTTACTTACTTACTAACTTGCTTACTTACTAACTTACTTACCTATTTCTTGATTTTTCACCGTTTTAGGGTTCTAGTTTTCGGTGACATGACTGCTGGAACATTTGGCCCTCGTGAGGAGAAGTACAGGGACGACAGGTGGCGAAACATAGCACTGGGCGAGAGGTTCTTGATGGTGTTTATGAAGGTAAGAAACACTACTTGCCTTTGTGATTTGAGGAGAAATTATTCAGGGAACCGACAAGTTGATAAATTAAACACATCTGCAAAACTTAGTTATTTTTAATGAGGGAACGTTTCGCCACACAGTGGCTTCATCAGTCTTATAGGAAGAAGAATGGCGAAGATCAGAAGTAGTTTGAGGTGATCAGTCCCTCAGTCTGGAGTCTATGTAATTAGTCCACAAAATCTTAATGGGTGAAGTTTTTCCTGAGTAAAGTTACCCAAATATTGCATACGTGTCTAATTTATCGTCATTTATCGTCATTTATCGTGATTCAGAAACACTTTACACTTTACGACGTTTTGCCCACAAGTGTACCTCAAATGCTGTATAAAGTTCCACTGTATGATGACGATGATGATAATAATGATAATAAATATAATAATAATAATAATAATAATAATAATAATAATAATAATAATAATAATAATAATAATAATAATAATAATAATAATTACCATGTGTTACAGAGAGGAGGCTGTATACACGTGTTTATAAGCTCAGGCAAGAGTATCTATCTTCAGGAGCCTAGACCAGTGGCACCTTACACCTTCTGTCCTCAGGTGGGTGACTCTGTCCCCAGGTGGGTGACTGTATCCCCAGGTGGGTGATTATGTCCTCCAGGTCAGTGACTATGTCCTCCACGCAGGTTCCAGGTGTTGTTGATCACTTACTAATTGAAAGGAAGAATAGCAGAGATAACCCCAGACCTCATGGCTCTCACAGAGACTAAACAGATAACAGATGCTGTATTCCCAGCAGCAAACCTTTGGCTAATCTTTTCAACATATCACTACAAACTGGCATGGTGCCAGATAAGTGGAAAATGGCAAATGTGATACCTATTTTCAAAGCAGGTGACAGGTCCTTAGCTTCGAACTATAGACCAATAAGCCTAACCTCCATAGTGGGAAAATTTATGGAATCAATAATTGCCGAGGCAGTTCGTAGCCACCTTGAAGAGCATAAATTAATCAACGAATCTCAGCATGGTTTTACAAAGGGGCGTTCCTGCCTTACGAATTTATTAACTTTTTTCACTAAGGTATTTGAGGAGGTAGATCATGGTAATGAATATGATATTGTGTATATGGACTTCAGTAAGGCTTTTGACAGGGTCCCACATCAGAGACTATTGAGGAAAATTAAGGCACATGGAATAGGAGGAGAAATTTTTTCCTGGATAGAGGCATGGTTGACAAATAGGCAGCAGAGAGTTTGCATAAATGGGGAGAAATCAGAGTGGGGAAGCGTCACGAGCGGTGTTCCACAGGGGTCAGTTTTGGGCCCCCTGATGTTCACAATCTACATAAACGACATAGATGAGGGTATAAAGAGCGACATCAGCAAGTTTGCCGATGACACCAAAATAGGCCGTCGAATTCATTCTGACGAGGACATTCGAGCACTCCAGGAAGATTTGAATAGACTGATGCAGTGGTCGGAGAAGTGGCAGATGCAGTTTAATATAGACAAATGCAAAGTTCTAAATGTTGGACAGGACAATAACCATGCCACATATAAACTAAATAATGTAGATCTTAATATTACGGATTGCGAAAAAGATTTAGGAGTTCTGGTTAGCAGTAATCTGAAACCAAGACAACAGTGCATAAGTGTTAGCAATAAAGCTAATATCCTTGGCTTCATATCAAGAAGCATAAATAATAGGAGTCCTCAGGTTGTTCTTCAACTCTATACATCCTTGGTTAGGCCTCATTTAGATTATGCTGCACAATTTTGGTCACCGTATTACAGAATGGATATAAATGCTCTGGAAAATGTACAAAGGAGGATGACAAAGTTGATCCCATGTATCAGAAACCTTCCCTATGAGGATAGACTAAGGGCCCTGAATCTGCACTCTCTAGAAAGACGTAGAATTAGGGGGGATATGATTGAGGTGTATAAATGGAAGACAGGAATACAGAAGTAAATAGTGTGCTGAAAATATCTAGCCTAGACAGGACTCGCAGCAATGGTTTTAAGTTGGAAAAATTCAGATTCAGGAAGGATATAGGAAAGTACTGGTTTGGTAATAGAGTTGTGGATGAGTGGAACAAACTCCCAAGTACAGTGATAGAGGCCAGAACGTTGTGTAGCTTTAAAAATAGGTTGGATAAATACATGAGTAGATGTGGGTGGGTGTGAGTTAGACATGATAGCTTGTGCTACCAGGTCGGTTGCCGTGTTCCTCCCTTAAGTCAATGTGACCTGACCTGACTAGGTTGGGTGCATTGGCTTAAGCCGGTAGGAGACTTGGACCTGCCTCGCATGGGCCAGTAGGCCTGCTGCAGTGTTCCTTCGTTCTTATGTTCTTATATGATATAATGAGGAAAGTGGAAAGAGGGATGATGCCTTGCTAATTAGGAATCAGAGATGTTAACGGATTTGTCTCTCTTTACAGGAGAGACGACAGTCAAAGATGCTGCGAGATTCATCTCCTCTCAGTGTGGTGGTCGAAACTATTGATGCTGAGCCGGGGACAGTGGAGGTGCACAGTGTCCTCTGGTGGTAGCGCCACTAGCACCAACACTACACTCTCCAGCACCACTAACACCACCAACACTACACTAAAAGTAATGACAAACCGTTCAGCGCTACTAACACATAAACTGCCCTCGCTGACACAAGTATAACGACAGTTACACTGCCCAGCACCAAATTACCCTATCTAGCACCACTAGAACCACGAATATACTATATAACATCAAAATTATAATACCTAGCGCATCTAACACAATAACAACCCTATCTAGCACCACTAGAACCACGAATATACTGTCTAGCACTGCTACTACACTGCCCAGCACCGCTAACAACCTTATCTAGCTGATAAATTAGACACATGTGCAACATTTGGGTATCTTTATTGAGGAAACGTTTCGTCACACAGTGGCTTCATCAGTCCATACAAAGAAGAATGGTGAAAAACAGGAGGAGTATGTGGTAATCAGTCCCTCAGCTTTGAGTCGATGTGGTCAGTCCATCAATCTTGAAGAGAATACAGCATATGTGCGGAGAAGTAGCTTATATACCGTAGGCAGGAGAGGTGCAGCAGTGGAAGTAGGTCGTGTCCAAGGGTTAGGCGGGTGAAGAATTCCCTGTATTAAGATCCCAAGAAGTTGCTGTGTCAGACAAGAATGTAGATGTTGCACATGTGTCTAATTTATCATCTTGTCGGTTCTCTGAACCATTCACCTACAAACCTTATCTAGCACCATTAGACCACGAATGTACTGTCTAGCACCAATGCAACACTGCCCAGGGCCATAATTGCAAACTTTCAGGATAATATGGTGTTGAATAAAACTTGCAGTGCAAAGTTCAGTGTTTATTTTAAAAAGCTATTTTATTTCCGAGGCAGAAACGTAAGGTTTATCGTAAGATTATTTACGTAAAGAAAAAGTACCGTTGATAGGAGGAGGGTTGCAGAGGTGCGAGTTGTGTTGCAGAGGTGTGAGCTGTGTTGCAGAGGTGTGAGCTGTGTTGCAGAGGTGCGAGTTGTGTTGCAGAGGTGTGAGCTGTGTTGCAGAGGTGTGAGATGTGTTGCAGAGGTGTGAACTGTGTTGCAGAGGTGCGAGTTGTGTTGCAGAGGTGCGAGTTGTGTTGCAGAGGTGCGAGTTGTGTTGCAGAGGTGTGAGCTGTGTTGCAGAGGTGCGAGTTGTGTTGCAGAGGTGCGAGTTGTGTTGCAGAGGTGTGAGCTGTGTTGCAGAGGTGCGAGTTGTGTTGCAGAGGTGCGAGTTGTGTTGCAGAGGTGTGAGCTGTGTTGCAGAGGTGTGAGTTGTGTTGCAGAGGTGTGAGCTGTGTTGCAGAGGTGTGAACTGTGCTGCAGAGATGTGAGCTGTGCTCAGACCTCTGCAACATAATTGTCATCAGAATTGTCAACACAATTGTCAGTTGTCATCAGAATTGTCATCAACGATTTGTTAAGTTACACCATGAATTACGAAACAGACAAAACAAATGCGATAGTAATTACAGACACGGTAGATAATAGTGGAAAAATGATCATGTTATTAGAAGACGGAGGAACTTACGTGCCTCTTATTAAATCGTGAGACTTGCCCACGATTTAATAAGCTTATCAAAGATTATTCCTTGGGCTGTATTGAAAATGGGTTGGGCAGTTATTTTTGTTAGTGGGTTTGGGTTTGAGAAGGGCCTCCCTTGCATGGGCCAGTAGGCCTATTGAGAACTTTAAAAGTTAAACACTCACCTCTCACAAGAAAGAATTATGGAATAATTTTTGGATAGACATGTCCATGGAAACGATGTGTATGCACCTGCAGACAAGGTGCAGTTGGTCCAGGTGGTCCAGGTGGTCCAGGTGGTCCAGGTGGTCCAGGTGGTCCAGGTGGTCCAGGTGGTTCAGGTGGTCCAGATGGTTTACGGGTGTTATTGGAACAACGCTGAATGAGTAGGATGTCCGTAAGGTAGGTCGTAGGCCTACACATCTGTAGTAGATCGTTGAAGAACATTGGAAGAATTGACGTCGTCATCTTCTGAGGGAGTTGTGTCTTCACAAGTACAGAGAAACTAACACAATATATTGTTGACTCAGTGAAATGTGAAAACCATTCACCTACCACAATCACCACAACCAATACCAGTTAAGCACAACCACCACCACAACTACTACCACCATCACCAAAAACATCACAACCACAACCACTACCACCACCCCCACCTCAACCACTACCACCATCATCACTACCACCATCACTACTATGTAAGCCTTGTTGGATTTATATGTCGTGTCAAGCTGGTGCTGCCATCTTGCGGGGCTCATGTTAACCTTCAGTTCATCCCACAACACCCTGGGTTACTCTCACTTATATCATCAGACAGCCTACACTCAACAAGTCTCCTTCTCTCACTCCCCCGCCAGGCTGGGACCTGGCCCTACTGCAGCCTAGACACACTGCCTCTACCCAAGAGAATCAAATAAACCAAAATATTCACCACACCAGAAAGATGGTCCACTAAACCACGGAACGGGTGATGTTTGACTTACGCACTGGTATAGAGTTTTACGACTCACTCACCATGGGTTCAAACTCTACCCGTTCCGTGGTTTGTTTGCAGTCGTATCATTACGATTTCGTGAGTCATAGTCCAATAAATTATTCTTCATAGCGGTGGAAGCGGTGTTTACAGCAGTTGTGTTTTGCCCAGAGAGAGTAAGGAAGATGATGTCACTGGCTACTTCATCGACTTATACACGCTGCATCCATCACCCAACAAGTTCTTCTGATGTCGTGTCTGCAATTTACATTATCCAGATACAAGTATAGCCAGGATTTAAGCCCAAATATACTTTGTTTCCTCCGGAAATCTCAGCGGCGTCAACTGGGTCCCACAGCACCTCAAGGGACGTTTCTTGACGCTGGTGAGGGGCTCTTGATCTAAGGAATTGGATCTGTACTCCAATTCTCTGACCTGAGCCTGAATGCCTTCCATCCCCCCCACAGGCGCTGTATAATCCTACGGGTTTAGCGCTCCCCCATAATTATAATAATAATAATGGATCCTACAGCATCCCATCCTATTTCTGAGTTACGCGTTCAGCATCACTTGTACGCAAAGGTGAGTATGGTGGTCGAGTCCACCCTGGGCTCCCACATATGTGGGTGATGGTGTGAGCCGGTGGACTCCTGCCTCATCTAAGCACTATTACCACCATTATCACCATTACCACCAACACTCGCCACTACTCGCTCCCTCTATGCTGTGTCTCTGTGAATTCCGTGTGAATTTCTGGTTAGAGCTGTGTATCCGAGTGCCCAAGTCACTCGAAGCTGCGTGGATCACAAAGCCACATGGGACACCAAGCCGTGTGGATCACAAAGTCACACGAGCCAAAAAGCCGCGTGGATCAAGCCCTGTGGGTCACCAAGCCGCATGATGACCAACTCACATATTGTCGATGCCTGATGTCCAAGCAACATGTTAAGCTTCTGTAGCTTAAAAATGGTCCAAATCTGATGGAAACGTCGTCATAAGTTTCTTTGTCCTATGTGCGGGGTATTCACGTCCAGTCCAGACGTAGGATGGAGTAGTTTCTCCTACGAGAGGTCCTGCGTGTTGACGTCCACCCAGACTGTGCTGACACTCCATGTTTTTTCGCACAACCCATTTTTTTCTTCTTTCCCTGGCAGGAAGTATTTTTTTTTGTCCATGTATATATGTTATTCATTTCATTCTAGTACCCATGCTAGTGCCCTGTTTCTGTGAGAGAGAGAGAGAGAGAGAGAGAGAGAGAGAGAGAGAGAGAGAGAGAGAGAGAGAGAGAGAGAGAGAGAGAGAGAGAGAGAGAGAGAGAGAGAGGGAGAGAGAGAGAGAGTTATTGCTACTTGACACAATATGTTGAAAATGGTATAAAATTCCGAGAAACTGATGATTAAGATACACATGCAACAGTTGGGTGTATCTGGGTGTGTGTCCTTACACCTGTTGTTCTGTTCACCTAGCAAGCAAGTAGGTACCTGGGTGTTAGTGGACTGGTGTGGGTGGCATCCTGGGGGACAAGATGACGCACTGGCTTTCTTGGGTTATCCGGGGTGACTAACCCTCCAGGGCTAAAAATCCAAACAAAATCTTATTGTTGAAGCGTTTCACCTACTGTGGAAGCGAAACGTTTCAGCAGTAAAGGTACCCAGCTGTTACACATGTATCTTAATCATTTAATATGGCTCGTCAGGAATGAGGATAAGTATTTCCTGACACGGATCTCAGTCATATAATGACCAGCAGTTGGAACTTTTGGTCATCTGACGGAGGCCTTCCGCTGGCTTACCACTCCACCACTTAAAAAAATTGGGGTTATGATTATAACCATTTATTGAGTTCTCTTTTTTTTTCCCCGAGCTATGTAAACCCTGTTGGGTTATATATTTAGCGTCATGCTAGTGCTGCCATCTTGTGGGGCTTAGGCGTACCTTCAGTCCGTGAGATGGTGGCTCGTCTTCACTTACACAGCAGACAAGCTAGAGACAACAAGTCTCGTCCTGTCAGTCTCCCACCTGGCTGGTGTCTGGCTCTAGTACAGCCTAGACACACTGCATGTATCAGCACTACTACCAGAACCACCACTACTACCACCACCACCTAGGCCACCACCACCACTATTACCAGCACCACCACCTACACCACCACCACCACCACCACCACCACCACCACCACCACCACCACCACCACCACCACCACCACCACCACCACCACCACCACCACCACCACCACCACCACCACCACCAGTCAAACAGAAATCACACCTAAATGTCAGAGTGTGGCAAGTAGTGATTTGCATAATTGCTCATTATCGCCCACCTGTCACTTCATGACTATGATCCCTGTTATTAATTAATTAGTTACTCACTAGTTATTACTTATACATATTTATACATATAAACATTTCCATTGTGTATTATCATACTGATTTATATGATTTGTCTCTGTGGAAGCGCTATATCCTCAGGGATCAACGCTTAGAGAATGGTAGGTAAATCAGGTTTGACCCAAGGAAAGGAAGGGTGGCTCCATTTCCTTGGATGAAGAGCATTTCCACCCATGAGTGGCTGCTAGAATGTTTTATCTGGAATTGCTAGTTATATTTTTTTTCTAAATTCATTGACTGTTCTAGTTGTCAGAGGGTCAAGGGTCAGGTGGTATTACAACCCAGGTTCTCAAAGGCCTGTTACCCTGCGTGTAAAGGGAGCAAAATAAATGCATTATATTATCCTTCATCAAGTATAAACAGCAGTATGTACACTATATACACTATGTACAGCAATAGGTATTAGTGCACGCCACGGTAATCAAGGCAGAATAGCAGCCAAGATAGAGCAGACCACCGTGGAAATGACAAGGGTGAAAAGGTGAGTGGTAACCACGTCACCTTCACAGCTGCCAGATCCACATTATGATTGACTGAACCTAGATACTGATCTGACGATGGGGCCCCGATCGTCATACCCTTAGCATCTAGTTTGCTGGTTGGTGAGGCAGCCTATGTGTGTTAACATGCTCCGAATAAAGATTACACACTCTTTGCATGCAACAGGTGAGTTAGGGGTCAGGGTATCAGGTGAGTTAGGGGTCAGGGTATCAGGTGGGTTAGGGGTCAAGGGGGTGTTTGATTTTGTTGATGTTTCTGTTACTTGAAATGATGTGGAATCTTACCTTTGCTAACCTTATATGTTCTCGTTATCTCCTGGGATTGTTCTTATCTGCCTCATTATCTTCTGGGACTGCTGTTATCTGTCTCGTTATCTCCCGGGACTGTTATTATCTGTCATTATCTCCTGGGACTGTTATTATCTGTCT